TCCTGTCGTCTTACTTTTTCCTCAGTTGGTCCGTCCTTGATCTCTGTTAGGACTCTGTATCTCGAGCTGTGGTGTTCTTTTCTTTTCGTTTTGTTTCCATTTTTTAAATTAATCGTCTATTGGAGCCCTTGTGTCCCACATTAAATAAATGCATTTTAGCTGGTTTTTGTAAAAAAGATAAAAAAAGAAAATAAAAGGCTATGTAGGGCTGACTTGGTGGCCTGGTGTTTGGGGCAGCTGGATCTCACAGAGCTGACTGTGTGGTTCGAATCCCAGACCTGATGGATTGAAAATCATGCCAGTCATATGTATGCTGTGCCTAAGATCCCAAGGATTGCACAACATACCCTCCCTCAAGGTGGGGGTTTTCTCCCTCTCCCTCTCTCTATGGGGCTTCTACCTCTTCCTCTCGGGACACTCGGCCTGGGGAAGCCCAGAACATGGAAGAGGTCTGACCGCCCTGAGCCCACCGTGCTGGAACGGCCACGAGTAGAAGGCCCAGTCGACAGCCTGGCCTAAGCTCCTAGTTGACGGCCACGGTCAGCTGCCAGCCACCCAGATGGGCCTCAGACAGCTGCAGCCCCATCAGCATCCTACCTCCGAGTGAGAGCCCCACCCACAGCGTAAGCGATGTAAAAAGGTTGCTTTTGTCTGCCTAGTTTGGGGGTAGGATGTTCGGATTTGACAGTAAGTGGAATAGGAATAGGTCATATCTCTCTTATTTATTTTTGCTATAGGGTGCATGCCCTTATCAGAGAGAGAGAGAGACAGAGACAGAGAGGGAGAGAGAATGTCCACCCTCTATGGAACTGGTCATGCTGCAGTCCCTTCTCCATCTCTCCCTCCTTTCAGGATCGTGGACACACGGACACACGTGCCTGATGTGTTTCTCAAGCTGCAGAGTCCAGGGCTTGAACCAGTCGGCCATGTGGGGTCAGGCTGCTTTACCCACCAGGCTACAGAGCTAGCCTGTTTTAGTGTCTCCTTCCTCACAAAGACCTCCGCAGTCCTGCCATCTCAGAGTTTACCTGGCATCCCCTCCCAGCCTGCCGACATCTCACTCAACATGTCCAGAGATGTCCAAAGGCGGCCTGTCTCTCGCCACTTAGTCCTCCCTGTCCAGGACATGGCTTCTCCCTCCTCGTAAGCCGGAAGTCTGGGACCACGCGTGAGTCCTGCCTGTCTCTCGACTCCACAGCCAATCCTCAGGGGAAGCCTGTGGTGTACCTCTCTCCAGGTCTGCTGCCACCGCCATGACCTAATCGCCACCTCTCTCCCGCCACACTGTGCCCTCTGCCCTTCGCCTTTGGTGTCCATGGCTTCACCCAACAGCCAGAGGAGCCTCTTAAAATATAATCGAGCCAGGAGGTCCCCAGTGGCTGCCACGGTGCTGAGAATAAATCTAAACTCTTAGCTGTGCTTCCTGAGTGGGCCCTGACCTCTTTCCACTCCTCCCCAGGGTAAGTGGGACCAAAAAGATCCAGTGTTTGCAAGTGCTGTAGAGAGAGCAGCGAACATGTCTCTACCCGTTCCCTGTTCCTGGGGTTTTGTTTTCCCCGACTAAGAGGGACCCCAATGGGAACAGCCAGTTAGGTTCCCCAGCTCTGGCCTGGGGGCCTTGACCATACTTTCTTTTCCTTCTGTGGGGAGTTTACATGGGGTGTAACTTCTGCCTGGAAAAGCAGGGTCAGGAAGGCCAGGGACTTGTGTGAGGCCCTCCAGCACCCAGGAAGTGAACCAGGAAGTGGCTTAAAACTTACGTTGGGGGATCAGCAGTTAGCGTAATGGCTATGTCGCTGAACTCCCATGTAGTTGACCACGGTTCGAGTCCCGGACCTGGTGGCTTAAACTCAGGCTGGGTGTGTGTGCGTGTGTGCCCAAGATCCCGAGGGGAGAATGGAGAAGGGATTGCGGTGTGGCCATCCCTCCTGAAGGGTGATTTCTCACTTTCTGTCTGTCTCTCTGGCGAGCACACGTGCCCTGTAGCAAAAACAAAAATAAAAACAAACAAAACACTTACGCTGGGTGGTATGCACGCCCAAAGTCCCAAGAGGAGACTGGAGAAGGAACTGTGGCATGACTAGCCCCCTGGAGGTGGTCCTTGATCTCTGTTAGGACTCTGTATCTCGAGCTGTGGTGTTCTTTTCTTTTCGTTTTGTTTCCATTTTTTAAATTAATCGTCTATTGGAGCCCTTGTGTCCCACATTAAATAAATGCATTTTAGCTGGTTTTTGTAAAAAAGATAAAAAAAGAAAATAAAAGGCTATGTAGGGCTGACTTGGTGGCCTGGTGTTTGGGGCAGCTGGATCTCACAGAGCTGACTGTGTGGTTCGAATCCCAGACCTGATGGATTGAAAATCATGCCAGTCATATGTATGCTGTGCCTAAGATCCCAAGGATTGCACAACATACCCTCCCTCAAGGTGGGGGTTTTCTCCCTCTCCCTCTCTCTATGGGGCTTCTACCTCTTCCTCTCGGGACACTCGGCCTGGGGAAGCCCAGAACATGGAAGAGGTCTGACCGCCCTGAGCCCACCGTGCTGGAACGGCCACGAGTAGAAGGCCCAGTCGACAGCCTGGCCTAAGCTCCTAGTTGACGGCCACGGTCAGCTGCCAGCCACCCAGATGGGCCTCAGACAGCTGCAGCCCCATCAGCATCCTACCTCCGAGTGAGAGCCCCACCCACAGCGTAAGCGATGTAAAAAGGTTGCTTTTGTCTGCCTAGTTTGGGGGTAGGATGTTCGGATTTGACAGTAAGTGGAATAGGAATAGGTCATGTCTCTCTTATTTATTTTTGCTATAGGGTGCATGCCCTTATCAGAGAGAGAGAGAGAGAGACAGAGACAGAGAGGGAGAGAGAATGTCCACCCTCTATGGAACTGGTCATGCTGCAGTCCCTTCTCCATCTCTCCCTCCTTTCAGGATCGTGGACACACGGACACACGTGCCTGATGTGTTTCTCAAGCTGCAGAGTCCAGGGCTTGAACCAGTCGGCCATGTGGGGTCAGGCTGCTTTACCCACCAGGCTACAGAGCTAGCCTGTTTTAGTGTCTCCTTCCTCACAAAGACCTCCGCAGTCCTGCCATCTCAGAGTTTACCTGGCATCCCCTCCCAGCCTGCCGACATCTCACTCAACATGTCCAGAGATGTCCAAAGGCGGCCTGTCTCTCGCCACTTAGTCCTCCCTGTCCAGGACATGGCTTCTCCCTCCTCGTAAGCCGGAAGTCTGGGACCACGCGTGAGTCCTGCCTGTCTCTCGACTCCACAGCCAATCCTCAGGGGAAGCCTGTGGTGTACCTCTCTCCAGGTCTGCTGCCACCGCCATGACCTAATCGCCACCTCTCTCCCGCCACACTGTGCCCTCTGCCCTTCGCCTTTGGTGTCCATGGCTTCACCCAACAGCCAGAGGAGCCTCTTAAAATATAATCGAGCCAGGAGGTCCCCAGTGGCTGCCACGGTGCTGAGAATAAATCTAAACTCTTAGCTGTGCTTCCTGAGTGGGCCCTGACCTCTTTCCACTCCTCCCCAGGGTAAGTGGGACCAAAAAGATCCAGTGTTTGCAAGTGCTGTAGAGAGAGCAGCGAACATGTCTCTACCCGTTCCCTGTTCCTGGGGTTTTGTTTTCCCCGACTAAGAGGGACCCCAATGGGAACAGCCAGTTAGGTTCCCCAGCTCTGGCCTGGGGGCCTTGACCATACTTTCTTTTCCTTCTGTGGGGAGTTTACATGGGGTGTAACTTCTGCCTGGAAAAGCAGGGTCAGGAAGGCCAGGGACTTGTGTGAGGCCCTCCAGCACCCAGGAAGTGAACCAGGAAGTGGCTTAAAACTTACGTTGGGGGATCAGCAGTTAGCGTAATGGCTATGTCGCTGAACTCCCATGTAGTTGACCACGGTTCGAGTCCCGGACCTGGTGGCTTAAACTCAGGCTGGGTGTGTGTGCGTGTGTGCCCAAGATCCCGAGGGGAGAATGGAGAAGGGATTGCGGTGTGGCCATCCCTCCTGAAGGGTGATTTCTCACTTTCTGTCTGTCTCTCTGGCGAGCACACGTGCCCTGTAGCAAAAACAAAAATAAAAACAAACAAAACACTTACGCTGGGTGGTATGCACGCCCAAAGTCCCAAGAGGAGACTGGAGAAGGAACTGTGGCATGACTAGCCCCCTGGAGGTGATTTCTTGGTTTCTGTTTCTCTCCTTCTGTCTCTCTGGTGAGCACATGTGCCCTATAGCAAAAACCTCTTTAAAAAAAAAAATTAAAAGAAAAAAGAGGGACCAGAAGTTAGTGTAATGGGTATGTTGCTGGACTCCCATGTAGTTCGCATCCCGGACCCGGTGGCTTAAAAAAACTCATGCTGGGCGTGCGTGTGTGCGTGCCCAGGATCCCGAGAGAACAGAGAAGGGACTGTGGCATGGCCATCCCCCCTGGGGGATGATTTCTTGCTTTCTGTCTCTCTGTCTCTCTCTGTCAAGCGCATGCGTCCTATAGCAAAAACTTCTCCAAAGAAAAAAATTACAACAAAATAAGTAATTCTAAAAAAAAAAGGGGGGGTGGTGGGAGGGAGGCCTGTCAATGGTATGAAATCTGAAACTGGCCACGCACCTCCCAGGAAGAGGCCCTGGAACTCATTTCGACTCCTTGTCCTAAGTGCTAGCTGCTGGACTCGGGGCAGTCCATTACCCCCAGGCCTGCTGCGTCTTCACTCAGTCCACACGCAGGATGCTTTACTCCTGATTTTAATAAAATCACACACGATTTGGGGTGTCAGGCCCCAACGTCGGTAGAAACCACCCAGGATTGTGGGGGGACTGAGTGGTAAGGTCCACTCTCCCCAGCTTTCCAGTGTAAGGACTAAAAACATCAGATATCGCTCCAGAGGGACCAGCAGATGGCGCAACGGTTATGTCACTGGACTCCCACGTAGTTGATCTGTTTGGGTCCCGGATCTGGTGGCTTAAGCCCAAATCCCGGGAGAATGGAGAAGGGATTGCAGTGTGGCCATCCCCCGGGGGGTGATTTCTTGCTTTCTGTCTCTCCAGCGAGTGTGTGTGCCCTATAGCTAAAACCTCTAAAAAAAACAAGTCACTCCAAGGAGATGGGACATACGAGATGTCCAACAGGAGGGATGGGGAGTGAAAGCCACCCTGAGGGCAGGAGGCGCTGGTGAGGGAGTCCTGTGGCCTATTACAGCGCCCCCAATTCACACGTAGGAATCCTCATCTCCAAGGGGATGGTATCATGAGGCAAGGCTTTTGGAGGGGAACAGGCCATGGGGTCAGAGCCCTCAGGGATGAGATTAGTGCCCTTATAATAAAAGGGACCCTGGAGAGCTCCCTGTCCCCGCCCGCCTGGTGAGGACAGTGAGGCCACTGTGGACAGTGAAGCACAGGTGCCTCATCTTCCCAGTGCCCTGCGGTTGGGCCCAGGTGGTTCTTCAGCCCCAATCTCAGGGAGGAGATATTCACCACTGTCCCCAGGGAAGAGGCCCACAATCTGGCCATGCCTCCCCTGCAGGGCTGGGGCAGTGGGAGCCACTGGGGAGCAGGGGAGGCTGTTACCTGAGCCAGGCCATGTGCAAGGGCTACTGCCTGGGGTCAGGGCATGCGCGAAGGTTAATGACCCTGCTTAGCCAGAACCATTTTTGAAAACATGGGGTACAGATGGTTGGTACTTTCCGATGATCCACCCCATTCCCGCCACTTCCAGCAGCCTTTAGGGGGTGCTGGGGCCAGTCCTGGGCACAGTGGCCCCTTCACCCCCTTCCCATGGGCCTGCTGGTCTCAGAGCAGAGAAGAGGGAACACTGCCCATTGCCGGTCAGCCCAGCCCACACTCCCTCCACTAGAAGGCTGGGGTGGGGCCAGAGCTGCGCTGTCTGCCCAGGGCCCCGAGACGTGAGGTTCCCCAGCCCTTTGAGCTGGCTGTGGTGGGGCACACCTCATCTCCCCATGAGTATGAGAAGCCCTCCCAGCTTCACCAATATGGCCCCTTAGAGACTGCAGCTCCTTCCAACCCCGGGGGTGATGTGGAGGTAGACAGGCCCTGGGAGGGGCAGGAGGGGTGCTTCTTCCACTGGGGTCCTCCCTCCAGGAGGACAAAAACCCAGAAGCAGGAAATGGGGTAGAGACTGGTTTGGCAACTTTGTACGCTGTTTGAAAACACTGGTTGCTTTTCACCGGCCTTTGGCTCAGGTCTGTGAACAATGTCCCTGGCCCTCCATTGTAGTCCCCCGAGGGTCCCCAGAGGAGCTCACACCCCCAGGGTGCTCTTCTCTCCCTCTCTGGGGCTGGGCTCCTCCTGAGCCTTCTGCATCTCCCAGCCCCTGACCCAGGTGTAGGCAGAGGAGCCCCCCAGCACCATGGCGTTGCTTGCCCACCACAGGAAGCTCTTGGCCTCCTCGTAGTACAGCACGGCCAGCACCGTCTGGGCACAGGCCTTGGCCGTGCCCGACACGTTGTGGGTCAGGGGACTGGTGAACTTGATCTGCAGGCCGGTCACGTAGCCGATGGCGAAGCCGAACAGGCCGCCTAGCGTCATGGTGCCCCAGAAGTGGGCGCTGCCCAGCTGGGCGAAGCCCCAGAGGGCCTGCAGCTCACCCAGCAGCAGGAGCAGCGGCAGGAAGAGGACACAGGCGTTGACGTTGTTGTAGAAGGTCAGGCGCCAGATGCTGCCGTCCACCGCCGGGAGCACCTTCTTGGTGAAGATGGCGTTGAGCGAGACGCACAGGCTGGCCAGTACCCCAAAGATGGTGCCCAGCAGAGACAGGGTGCCCTCAGCCCCCTCCTGGTCCACGCCAAGACAGAAGCCGCATG